AATGTAGACGCATATCTGTCTATTTATTTTTTGACCTATCCAGTTAAGGAGATGGATACGTCCAATGTAGACGCATATCTGTCTATTTATTGTTTGACCTATCTTTTTAACCGCTTATAGAAGGGGGAAAGGAGGGGATGGGAGAGGAACGAGGGGATAGGAGAGGGGAGGAGGGGGAAAGGAGGGAATAGGAGAGAAAGGATGGGATAGGAGAGGGGAAGGAGAGGGGAAGGAGGGGGAAGGAGGGGGTAGGAGGGGAGGAGTGGAAAGGAGAGGGTAGGGAGGGGGGGGGGAGAGAGAGAGAGAGAGAGAGAGAGAGAGAGAGAGAGAGAGAGAGAGAGAGATTTTGTACCCTTGATTGATCTGATCCTACTTGTCATTGTTGCGACAACGGTACAGGGAATATGAAATGCTGTGGCCTCTTTCTTCCAGAGATGTTTTTAAAATTATTATTATATTATATAAAATAGAAAATGTACTGCCAAAAAATTGAAGAAAAAAAGGAGTCGGAAAAAAAGAGGCAAAATAGAAAACAGCAGGCGCATTTTCATTTTTTATTTTTTTAAACCGTACTTGTTTCTTTTCCACATGCGAGTGCCCCCACGGACGTCTTGTTGGTGAAGCTCAAGGGCTTCTTACCCCACCTGTTCACCCTGATGAATTATGCCGACCTACCCACGTGGGGAGCGACCTGTGGCTCGTCAGATGATTATAAGTTGATGAAACTGAAAAACCGAGCAGCGGCATCGTGGGACTTAGCACCTGGGACCTGTGACTAGGGACCTAGGACTTGGGATCAGGGACCTGGGACGTGGGACCTGGGAATGGGAGATGGGACCTGGGAACGGAACCTGTGAATGTGACTTGGGACTGGTAGGGACGTGGGACCTGGGACCTGAGAATGGGAATGGGACATGAGACCTGGGAATGGAACCCGGGAATGTGACTTGGGACTGGCAGGGACCTAGGACTTGGGACCTGGGACCTGGGACCTGGGACCTGGGACCTGAGAATGGGAATGGGACATAGGACCTGGGAACGGAACCTGGGAATGTGACTTGAGACTTGTAGGGACCTAGGACTTGGGATCAGGGACCTGGGGCCTGGGACCTGAGAATGGGAATGGGACATGGGACTGGTAGGGACCTAGGACTTGGGATCAGGGACCTGGGAATGGGACCTGGGAATGGGAATGGGAATGGGACTTGGGACCTGGGAACGGAACCTGGGAATGTGACTTGGGACTGGGGATCTGGGGTTTTTGACTGGGGACTGGGACTGGGACGTGGAACTTGGGACCCTGGGACCCTGGGACCTGTGGTGTCCCATCTCTTGACCACGGTAGGCCGTAAGAGTTTGTGAAAGGGAGCAGCGGGTATGAGACCACTTGTGAAAGGGAGCAGCGGATATGAAACCACTTAGTCTGGTATCGCGTCTCGCTTCACTACTGTCCGCTATACACATTTTCGGAGAGTTTTGTGTACAGCTGTCAGAGTGAAAAACAACGTTGAACTCGCGCCATCGTTCCGCTTACCGTCCGCTATACAGGTCTCCAATTCACGAGTTTGCTACCAGACGGCCCGTCAGGGGACTACAAGACACGCAGACATCATCAGCAAATCGTCCTTCACGAGTTTGGAAAGGTACACTTTCCAAACTGGGGTGCGGTACGTGGGCTCCTTCGAGGACTCTCCGTGTGTAACGATATTTGCGGGCTTGTGATTTTTTTTTTCTGGAGAGTCCTCGAAGGAATTTGTTTATGGAGAGTCCTTGAAGGAATTTTTTATTTTGTGGAGAGTCCTTTGAGGACTCTCCGTGGAACTATACAAGTTTGGATCTCATACACGTAAGTTTTTTTTTTCTGGAGCGTGATCTGACAGCTATACACAGAATGTTTTGCGAAGGTGGATTTCGGATATAGCAAGCGGAGCGACATCCAGGTAGGGGAAATGGTATAGTGGGGGGACAACAGTGAAGAGGGACCAATAATAAGACCCGTGTTGGAAAACACGTGTTTTGGAGAATTTCATACATGGGCCTCGGCAGCCTGGTGGCTCCACTACTCACCAAATGAGCAAATTGAGAAGGAATATTGCGCTAGAACAGGGGAAGATACAGTGGCAGATTAGATTCTTCTTTGTGCATCTGGTCAGTAGTGGAGGGAGGCGCTTTGTCTGTTTGCCTCCCGGCCTTCGAAAAAACAAAAAAGGGAAGAGGAAAGAAAAAAAGGAAAAACGGAGAAAAGAGGGAAGGAAACGGAAGGGAAAGAGAGGAAATCAAAAGAGAAACAGAAGACAAATGATGTTTGATATTTCAATTGAGAATATGAATATTCCGCTAGAACACGGGAAGATACATGGGACGTATTCTTTTTGTGCATCCAGGGAGTTGTATGAAATCTGATGGTAATCGAGCTTCTGGGCAGGGCATAATCACACTAGGACTTTTTCTACTGAGCTCTGGACGTGATTGCGGACAGATTCATCCAAGGCTGACCATAGTTGCGGTCAGACAGATACATTTAGGAAAGTGCTAGTGTGAGTATGCCCTCACGTGCGCAAAGTTCCAACTTCCATTTGCATGCACGCATTGTTGCAAACGTCAGCAGGATTTTTTTTTAATTTATCTTTTTGCTTCTGTTCCGTTTTCACACTAGATTCTGTTCTCGTGGGGCTCATCTTATGCATGCCTGTCATTGCTTGCTTGCAGGTACATCATTGACGTCAACAGAATCTGCTTATGGCTTGTCGTGGACAGCAGCAGCACCTCTGTTCTGCCACGTGAGCTCATGTGACGGGCTGTCGCATGTTATCTTCATTGACTGTGACCTTGGGATTGAATTTGGTGGAGGTCAGGTGCAGCGCAGAAGACACACACACACACAGACCAAGAGAGAGAGAGAGAGAGAGAGAGAGAGAGAGAGAGAGACAGTGAAGGGGGGGGACTGATTGACCGTCTGCCGAGAGGTCTGTTGATTGATTGGTTTGTTCCCCACAAAGAGGGAACAGGGCAATGGCTGCATCCTATCCGAAGCCACCTTCAGGGATGTATGGGCCAATGACCGGCGGGCCAGCAAGGCATCCGGATGATATGGTGCTCAGTCAAGGAGGGGGAGGGACCGGGCGGCAAGACCCTCCATCCATGGGAATGGGAATGGATTACTCTGCTTCTTCGCGTATGCAATATGTGCCAATGCCACCGCCGTATGATCCTGGGACACGTGGCGGTCTTCCGGATATGGGCCGAATGGGACCTTATGAGTCCTCGATGATGGCTGTGAGGTCTCGTGCCGATCAAACATCGTCTGTGTCTGCACCACCAGGTAGCACTTCGGACCCAAAGATCGGGTTGGGAGGAAGGCCTACTCGGCTGGACCCCCCAGCTGCCTTTGAGAAAGATAATGGGGTGCTGGGCCCAAGGCCGCAGCTAGACCCCCCAGCTGCATTTGACCCTTCTGCAATGGCTAGTCAAAAGCCGCCTCTTCTTGGTCCACCTCCGATGGCAGTTGACGGCTTTGACCCTTTGTCCCGACGTCCTCGATTGCTCGATCCTCCGGCGTTCGATCCCACTGGGAGACCTAGATCTGACTCTCTACCTTATGAGATGTCTGCCTCTGGGAAATCGAGTGCCCTTTATGGGGGTGAAGAGACAAGGATGGGTTCATCATCCTCGGCTCTGAGGTTGGGCATGGAGAGAAGTGGAGAAGGCCTACTGCCACCAGAGATGAAGAGGGATGGCGGTTATGGTATCTCTTCTTCGACGGCTGAACTAGGAGGTGGAGGAGGAGGAGGAGGAGGAGGAGGATGGAGTGGGATGGTACCACCTTCAGCTTCGTTGTCCTTTTCATCAAGGCTCAGATCGGGAACAGGCCCTTCTGCCCATCAGATTGATCCCAGTGGCGGTGGATTAGGAGGAGGAGGAGGAGGAGGAGGAGCTGTTGGGGCTGGATTAGGAGGAGGAGGAGGAGGAGGAGGAGGAGGAGGCACCTCCTTGTATTCCCCTTTCGAACCAACAAGTTTGCTGTCACCCCAGTTCAAACCTAGTGTTAATTCACCGCCATCATCAAGCTTGCTGGGTGCACCAAATCAACGGTTGCCATCTTCCAGCGGTTATGGTAGTGCTGGTGGCACTTACGAGTCTTCATTGACGGATGGCATCCGCGGTGCTGCATGGCGGGAAAGTATGCGTCCCGATGCGGCGGGTGACCTCCTCCTTCCGAATACTGGCAGCAGGCTTCGTCCGAATCTCAGTTCTGATCCTTCTCAGGACTACCATCGTCTTCGAGAGGCGTCCTCCATAGCGGACAGTCAAGATGCACATGCATATCTTCGGAGTGGGTCTACAGCATCTCGGGACCTTCCTGCTGCGGATCTGCTCAAGCGTTCCAACAGCCCGTCCCGGGATCCTGTCCTCAAGGCTCCGCCACCTCTGGGATCTTCTTCTCTGCTGGAGCGCTACGATTCTGCGTATGGCAGTGCTGGTCTATCAAAATATGCCAGCGACAGCTGGCAGAAGCCCCTGCCAATGTCTTTGGCGTCAACGACTGCTGCTGATCGAGATCGGGATCGGGATCGGGATCGAGATCAGGATCGGGATCGGGATCGGGATGAGGATCGGGATCGGGATCGACTTGCGCGACGGAGCTCTCTCTTGGAATCTTCGCGCCTGGACTACCGAGGTTCGTCCTACTCAGCTGGGACAGGAGCGGGGATGGAACAATCAGATCGATCCGTCCTTTCTGAGGATCGTCTTGCTTTGCGCTATGGCAGCAGCAGCGAGGCATCGCGGGAAAGTTACGACAAGTACCGTCTGTCGTCTGGCCTCGCAGACGGGATTGGTTCCTCGTCCTTCTCGGACCGGTATGGCCTGGACAAAGAAAGACTGCACCGGGAACGACTTTCTCTCATCTCACTGTATGGGGGTAAAACTGGGGCTGCTGGGGATCTTGACCACCCTGGATCTCGATACTCAGCCTCCTCCGCTACGGAATCACAGCTTCTGCGAGGAGAACGTGAGTACCGCTATTCACGGGAAGGTCGCCTTAGCGGGAGTGCCGGCTTGGGGTTGCTTACAGAAAGGGAAGCTGCTTTGCGACCTGGACTAGGAAGTGGATCCCTGGCAGATTTGTATGGACCTGGTGGCAGCTATGGTCTGAGGAGTGGGTCGTCTTTGCGTCACGACGAACTTCAGGACGAGTTATCTGGACGAGGGAGAGGATACTACAGCTCTTCTACCCGAGAGTACTTGGAAGCACGAAATCTTGCAGAAAGGCAACTGTACTTGTCTGAGAGTCGCAGGGCGAGATCTCCCTCTCCTCCTCCTCGTGGGTCGGGGAGGTCTTCTTATGCTTCGGATTACGAATACACCCAACTTCTTGCTTCAGAAAGAGCCAGACTTCGTGCAGGTAATGTCTCTGTCCCTGAGTTTGAACCCCGTCTGCCATTCATGTCAGCGGTTTGGAACGACAGTCTGCTAGGATTGCAGGGGTGGTAGGGGTAAAGTCAACCACTTTTCTCTCTCAAGGAAGGGTTTCGCTAACTCTGGGTGGCGACGTGGCGAGTCCTCGTCCAGCAGTCGAATGTGTCTTGGGCAAACTGTCAGGGTTCAACCTCCTGACGAGTCGGTGAATGTCCGATGAACAAGTCTGGCACAGTTGCTTTTTGTGTGTTTATCGAACACGACATACACACTTACTCTCTCAGGGGTATGACCAACTCTGGGCGACATTGTGAATCCTTATCCATCAGTCAAATTTACCCTGGGTGGACTCTCGGGGTTGATGAGTCGGTGAACTTACAACAAACCAGTCTGGCAGGGTTATGCTTATTTTTTTGGTGCTGTGTATATCGAACATGACAACACACACTCACACACCTGCACCGACGCTCACGCAGAAACACACAGGGGTTCAACCTCCTGACGAGTCGGTGAAAGTCCGACGAAACAGTCTCGCACAGTCATGCTTTCTTTGTGGAGTTGTGTATGGCGAATATGAGGACACACACGCGCGCACACACACACACACACACACACACACACACACACACACACACAGAGAGAGAGAGAGGTTTGTATGTGAACCTTTTGCCTTTTGGGATTTGCCCAGAGGTTCAGAATGTGGCACCTCCGGGTCATTGGAGAGTCATGGGTGACCTGACGTTATCAGTCGCGTGGTAACCAAACATTGTTCGATCGAACACAAACTATCAAAAGTTTGGCCTCGTGGCTCCACGCATAGGCCTGTCCGTCCAGTTGCTGCCAGCTAAGGGCTCTGTTCCTCTTAACTGGAATTTTACACTGGTATGCCATCATGGCCGTTGATGTGACAAATGTACGGCCACATCATGTTGATATTGGTTCTTTTTTTTTCTTTTTCCCCGTGATGCTATGGAATGATGATGTAAGGCTGCCCCACTGTTTTTTCTCCGTGTCACAGAAAAGAAAGTGAATCTCGTGAGTGTTCAAAGAACGGAACAGTGCGAAATTGCATTTAGTCTTATTCAAGGTTTCAACACGTGTTAAGAAAGGTGGTTTAATCTCTCTTCTTTTTTTCTCAGTAGAGGCGAAGGCCTTGAGATATCATCGTGGAAAGTAACTGGATTTAACTCGAGGATTTAGTTCATCTAGTTCCATCTGGATTCGAACTTAGGTCTGCATTTCAACAATTACTGCATTCTCACCCAAACCAAAAGAAAAGATGAGAAAGATAAAGAAGCGAAAAAGAAGGGGGGGAAAAAGGGAAAAAGAAGGGAAAAAAAAGAAAAACAAGCGAAGAACAAGCGGATAAAAGACAAAAAATAAAGCAAAAAAACAAAAAAAGAGACAAAAAAGAAGAAAAAGAGGAAAGAAAGAGAGAAAAAAAGGAAGAGAAAGTGTACCCTTATATGACTCCTGTTCCTGTACCGACATTAGTTAGCAATCACGTGATTGACGGAGAACTAATTTGCTTTTTTGAACTGGAAAAGTTGAAGAAAAGATTTGCTGATGGATTTGTTGGGCTATGGATATTTGTTGTTGCATTGGCAGAAAGTCACATGGATGGTGGTCGGGATCCATTGCGTTCGGACCTGCTTCGTTCAGGTAGGACTTCTTCGCAGTCTTACTCGTCGATGCGGGACGGTGCGGACAGGGACATGATTGGGTACTCTGCAAGCCTTCGTGATGAGGTGGAAAGGGAGCTGGCAGCTTCAGAGCATCGTCGGAAGGCAGCTCGCCTTGCCCTTCCTGAGGATGGGAGGGATCTGCGGGAGGTGGAGGATAGACATCGTCTACTCCATGGGATGACAGAGGACAGTCATCGCCTGTACAAGAGAGATCTTTACGCGAGGGAAGAAAGGGATAAGGTGATTGGCGATGTCATGAATGCGCCGTACCCTGGATATGGAGACAGTTTTAAGCGGAGTAGTCTGATCGGTGGGGAGACAATGGAGAAAGAAACCTGCAGGCATCTGGAGACTAAGCCTTGGTACGAAAAGCGCTTTGTCATGGCCAAGCAATGGGGCTGGTGGCTGCCGGAAGATCGACTGGGGAGGTTGGTTCTTGCACTCGTGCCCCCCCCCGCATTGTCACATTGTGTTTCTTTTTGCAGCTTTCTTTCTCCAAGGTGCCCCTCTCCTTGCATTCACGCACCAGCACCTTCTCACGTTGTTTATTGTCGCCATCTTTCTCCCAAGGCAGTGCCCCTCTGCCATTCCCCTCACCCTTGCCCCCTCGTTTGCTCTCCCTTTCCAACTCCAAACTGCAGCTGTCTAGCATTTTGTTAGAAAATCGACCTCCGTAACAAGCCCATCCAGATGATTGCAGATTTGCTGCCATGCTTCGGAGTGTCCCCACATCAGGGTGATCTGAATCTGCATCAGATGCTGAATCTGATGCTGAATCTCAGGTGGTGAATCTGATGCTGAATCTGATGCCAAATCTGAAGCTTAATCCAATGCTGAATTTGCCAGTTCTCTATCCGGCAGAGAGTAGTTAAACCACCAGTACATGGCCCCAGCCAACTTGAGAATCAGGAAGAAGTCACTGCGAAAAAAATCAGAGGCTCGGGGCAACCTGACCAAAATGGCTGGTGGCGCCACGCAAAAGTAAAGCAAAAACGCTGCGCTGACGTTTCGGCAAAGCTTGGCTCGCAGGGCGGTTTGAGGCTCGTGAATTTATCCTAGAATGGACTACTGGTTTGTTAAGCATACATCCTGAGGAAGGATTAGTTGGTGTAGAGTGGTAAATCTTCCGAGTGTGGAGGAAAGCCACCGACGTAGGATGCAAGCGCCATTGACGGGGAACAAATATGATTGCTTGCCAAGAAACATGCTTGAATATGAAGATGAGATTGTCAGACTACCGTCTTCCCCCGAACATCACGCACCCTGATAATGAATGTATACAAGCTATCTTTCCGACGGTGCAGCCAAAATGAGGGTGCGTTGTGTTAGGGGGAAGACGGTAGCTGGTGGTTTGTGGCGAGGGCCCATTCAGGAATGGTGTTTGTATGATGGCTGGACGGTGGCGGAAATGCTGGTTGTGTGGAAAGAACGTTCTGCGGTGTCATTTCAATCAATATATCTCTAATACTATAAAGCAAGAAGCGGGTCTCGCGTGACGCTCCCGCTGGGCCCAGCGAAATTCGGGCAGGGAGTTCCGCGTGCGGTGCCGCAGGAGACCTAGGAGGGCGCGATGGTTGGGGAGGCTGGTAGCCAGGACGGGCGCAGTCATGACCGGGGGGCCAGTGGGCAGTCGGTGCCGGCGCGACTTTATGATTTTCGCTACCGTTTTTTCTTGCGCCGCGCCGGGGGGAGGTTGGGAAGTAGCATGTTCTAGCTGAAGATTCAACCAGGTAGTGTATGTTTCCATGTTCTAGCCGAAGATTCATTGGATGTTGCTCATCCTATCGATGGAAGTAGCATGGCGCGAGCCGCGAGGCCGGAGAGTTATCGTCTCTCTCTCTCTGTGTCACACACACACACACACACACACACGAATGATTCATTCCGATTTTGCTAAAAAAAGTGGCAGTGTATATTTCCACGTTTCAGCGGAAGATTCATTCCGTTTTTGCTCATCCTATCGATGGAATGTGTGTGTGTGTGTGTGAGAGAGAGAGAGAGCCGATAAGTCTCCAACCTCGGCCAACAGCTAAGTCTCCAACCCCGCCCCTCGCCGAACGCTACTTGGATCGATAGAATGAGCAAATCAAAAAGTGGCAGTGTATATTTCCACGTTTTAGCAGAGGATTCATTTCGTTTTTGCTCATCCTATCGAAGAAATGTGTGTGTGTGTGTGTGAGAGATAGATAGATAGATAGAGAGAGAGAGAGAGAGATGATAAGTCTCCAACCTTGGCCAACAGCTAAGTCTCCAACCCGCCCCTCACCGCACGCTACTTGGATCCATAGAATGAGCAAATCAAAAAGTGGCAGTGTATATTTCCACGTTTCAGCGGAAGATTCATTCCGTTTTTGCTCATCCTATCGATGGAATGTGTGTGTGCGTGTGTGTGTGTGTGTGTGTGTGTGTGTGTGTGTGT